TCTCTCTTCCCCTCTCCCACCTCTTTTTCCCAGTCTCCCCCAGTTTTGTATAATAAGGAGAGATTCTATTTTTGAACACACGTTTTCTTTATTTTGTACATCAGGAAGGGGGGCTAGGGAAGGGTAAGTGGAAGGAGGTGAGGGAGGAATGGGGTACACGCCCCGAGGGGGAGGACTGGGCTGGCTCTGCAGGCTTCTGGGGGTGGAAGGTCTCCTGCAGCCCCCTCCCTCTGGATGGCAGCCTGCGGCAAGTGCAGCCGGGGTGATGGCCGAGTGCTGTGGTTATCCACATGTGGGCACTCAGGGCACTCTAAGCCAGGACCACTTTGCAAGCGGGGAACCCTGAGAACTGTCTGTCCAGGGTGGGGGTCGGGTCCCTTTAAGCACAGCCCTCGGCTAGCCTGAGACAGCAGCTCCACGCTCTAAGTCCTCATCTGATGCCCTGCTGGCACTGCTTCTGGCCATCCTTAACCTCTGTTTAGGGTCCACTCTGTGTGGACATGCTAGTTTGAATTAGCAATATGCTAATTCGGATTAGTTTTTAAGTCTAGCTGCGCTAATTCGAATTAGCTTAGTTCAAATTAAGTTAGTTCGAATTAGTGCTGTAGTGTAGACATACCCTAATTGAGCATGTGTAGCTTTCATGAAAATGACATCTGGCTACTGGGCCCTCAGTGCCCTAAGTTTGATTCTTAGTGTTATCCACGTTTAGACCCTGATCTGTTCATTAGTATCTGTTGTTGAATAGGGAACTAGTCATGGTACAAGGGTCAGTGCTAGTGGTTTGTGATGTGTTAGCTCACAGCGTTAGGCTTGAACGTAGAAAACCCTTGTTCTATTGAAATCAATGACAAAAATACCATTACTTCAGTGGGGCTAGGGCTTCAAGCCAAGTTTGAAATCTGCGGTCCTGGTTCATGTTTGAAAATTATGATACCAGATGTTTATGTACTTTTGCAAGTTTTTTGAGTCGGTTTCCTGAGCCCAGATAGTCAATCTCTTGCATTAGTTAGATTAGTCACTGATATAAGCACAGTACAATGTTGTGAAAGAATTCTTCTCATGCTGATTCTAATGGAACTTGTTGGCACAGTCATGCCAATCAATAGTCCCATTTGATTTACTTTAAACAATGAGCCTGCCACTCATCTAAGCATCTTCAGAAAACAACATAATGGATAATCACCAGAAAACAGAAAATGTGTTTTGCTGCTCTCTAGCAAATACGTGTTGCTTAAAAGTATTCATTGTGTGTGTCTTAGAGGATACTCTGAGGGAGACAAACCCCACACTGCAGAGCCAGGAATTAAGGAACAGCTTTGGGGCCTACACAGCTCTGCCCAGATACACTTGCAGGTCCTGCACAAGATGGAGGCAGGACTTTAAAGCAGCTCAGAGGCAGGCACTGGAAGGGAGCAGATAGCTGATCTGAGGAGAAAGGACTGCCTGGGACCTGACAACACAGACCTGTGCAAATGCACAAAGGAGAAGCAGGGGGACAGTGTGAGTCAGAAGGTGAAGGAGACCATAGGAGGAAGTGGTCAGGGGAGGCAAAGACTGTATTGAGTGTAGCTGCTCATTAATGAGCAATGGGGAGGCCGACCTGGGTTCCCCTACCCACTCTGAAAGGACATTACAACAACAGGAACCTTTACCTCCACCGAGATGGGAGCTGGAAAGGTCCTAACAGTTCAAAGGCAAACCCTCTTTAGTAAAGAGGAGGACTGGAAAACTTTCCAGGGGGCACTGAAAGACAGGACTGTTCTTCACTGGGGAAATATATTGCCAACCACCACCAGGCCGCGCTGTCATGTGTTGACCATCTACAAACCCATTGATTTCAGAGTTGTAAATGCTACTCTCTTCTCAAAATCAGGCCATTTGTGCATCTGATTTGATTTAGTGGGGGAGGTCTAGGTTGGATATTAGGAAAAACTCTTTCATCAGGAGGGTGGTGAAGCACCGGAATGGGTTACCTAGGGACATGGTGGAATCTCCATCCCTAGAGGTTTCTAAGTCCTGGCTTGACAAAGCCCTGGCTGGGTTGATTTATTTGGGATTGGTCCTGATTTGGGCAGGGGATTGGACTTGACCTCCTGAGGTCTCTTCCAGCCCTAGGATTCTATATGGATTATGAATAGGGAATGGAAACTGGTGAGGTTAAAAACTGCTGGAGTGTAAATGGGAATGTTGAATGACAGAACTGTTCATTGTCTTGCTTTTTCTGACTAGTATTGGTTATGTATACGATCTAAAAGTCTCAATTCAAGAGAATGAGTGTTGTGTGGGAATATTACATAATCTCTGCATGTAGCCCATGACAAAGTAAAATGAATAAATGTCTTCAGCCACACCATGGTAGCCTGGGATCTAGGATTGCTAGGCATCTGGGTCTTGTCCAGCAGTGCTGACCAAGCCGCTGAAAAACTGGTCAGTGGCGCAGCTGGGCTAACGCAGGCTCCCTGCCTGCCCTGGGTCTGCATGGCTCTTGGAAGCGGCTGGCATGTCTGACTCCTAGGTGCTGGGTGGTCATGGGGGCTCCATGCAGTCTCCACCCTGAGTTCTGGCTCCACAGCTCCCATTGGCCAGGAACCCCTCTGGCCCCTCTGTGTAGGAGCTCAACATCCCAGCTGTCTCCTGTGAACTTCCTGCTTCAGCCCAGTGAACGTGAGTGTGGGTGGGAGACAGCAAGTGATGGAGGGGTGGTGGAGGAATAAGTGTGTGTGAGGGGACTGGGAAGGGCAGGTACAGGAGGCGGGACAAGGGTGTAATTAGAAAGTTGTCAACCCAGATCTCATCAGATTTCATAAACTATGCAGAGCTGCATCTGATCAATAATGCTCGGATAAAAGAGGTTCAGGGCCCACTAAAGTGCTGTAGGAAGTTGTATACATGGTTCTGTGGATCGCATTGCACCCTTGGCATAAAATTAATGCCTCTCCACAATGCGAGGAGGAACTGTACAAATGGTGAGGCAGTCTCTGAGATGAGAAATAAAAGGGAGACTCTTACTATTTGTGGCTGTTCTAATATCCAGTGACATATTAGATGAGAGTAAAGATGTTCACCCCAGGAACTGTGCCCTAAATTTTTTATAACATTTCTTATTATTAGCATAGAGATCATTGTTACTGTTGAACAATAGTTTGGCTACCAAAATTCCCATGTATCTATAAAAGTTATTCTCCATCTCACCTCTTCAGAACTGTTGCCCAGTGTTGTTGGGGATAGAATGGCTGCTCCATTCAATCCCTGGGATCACTTTATTTCTGTTGTGGTAAGTTCTCTGTGTGTATACAGGGCTATTTCTGTTCTCAGGCACACTATTTTAAATCCAGACTAATTTCATTGACAGACACCCTGTCACTTGGGCCTTGACCCTCCTCCTACTTAATTTCCCATATTTTAAATAAGTTTACTGAGGAAAAAAATAGCTTTGCAGACAGAGGATATATACACCTACAACTGAAATGCAGGCACCTCTGGGTGGATTGCAGCAGCTATTTGATGCACAGCAATGCTAAGCTATAGTCAACAATGGTGGAGTTACTCTGAATATATCCCAGTGTGCTTGAAAGCAGAATTTGGCACAGTCTGTGGAGTGCATTGTGTCCCTGTAAGATGTTAGTTTATAATATTTTATTATTGTTTGCCCAGTATTACCTTGGACTGGCAAGTCTTTGCTCAAATCCACTTCTGACATTTAACTATAATAAGGCTCCATCTTGACTTGCACAATTGAATCTGCATTAACATTTGTGGAACATAAAATGCATGGCTTGCTCCAAAATGTGTATGTTTTCTCACTTGTTTCCTTTCAATTTCTTTTCAGATGCATACAAACTGAAGATGAACAGACATTACGGTCCATGAAATCTTATATTAATGAAATATTAACCACAATTGCACAGTGTTTTGGCCAGTTGATAGAATTGGTCTTAACATATGAGATACAGGTCAGTAAAAGCTGGCTGCTGTTTACAAAATATTGAAGGTGTTTTTTGTTATGAGTGATGGAAATGAAGTATTTACAGCCCTAAGTCCCTACCGGAGGTTGGTACTTCCAGCATCTTGAAAACCATTCCAGTTGTGTTTTGAGAGAGTATCTGACAAGCCCTGCAAGTAACCCATTCAAGTTCTCACATAGCCCATCACATTGCTCCCTGTAAGCTGGGCACTTGTGCAGCCATTTGGGAGTGATTCAAATGATGCCCTGCTGATTAGCAGAGTGCCCACAGGTAGGTTTTGGTTTCTAATGGTCGTGCACATTTGCACATTCCTTGGTGCACATAAAATTTATTCCACATATGAATAGGAAAGATTAGAGGGACTATTACCTTTCTCTGATGTCATGCACACTTAGGCTGTCTAGACTACATCCCTCTTCTCAAAAAAGGGATGTAAATTAGATACTTTGAAACTGCAAATGAAGCCGGGATTTAAATTTCCCATGCTTCATTTGCATAATGGCAGCCTTGTTTTTTTTCCAAAACAGAGCTTTGATAGAAAAATGACAGTTTAGATGGGGATCTTTTGAAAATAAAACCCTTTTTGGAGGAGTACAGGATCTTTCAATAAAGGGTTTTATTTTCGAAAGATCCCCATCTAAACTGTCATTTTTCTATCAAAGCTCTGTTTTGGAAAAAAAACAAGGCTGCCATTATGCAAATGAAGCATGGGAAATTTAAATCCCGGCTTCATTTGCAATTTCAAAGTGTCTAATTTACAACCCTTTTTCGAGAAAAGGGATGTCGTTTAGACACAGCCTTTAGTTTTTCTAGAACACCACTATCCTTCATTTTCTCTGTTCATTGACCTGGTTTTGATGGTCTCTAATAATTATGATACTGTCAGGCTTTCTGCACTTTAAAGGAGCTGATCTCTGGGCAGTTTTCAAATAATTCAATGCAGCGGATCTTTTTCCACTTACATTGTTATAATGCTTATTAAGATAGTACCTAAGGAACAACCAATAATGGGGCCATGTTGTGCTTGGCACCATACAAAAAGAGTAGTAAAAAGGATAGAACGCACAAGCAGAGAGAACACCATGAGAGGCGGGCTTAGGAGAGGGTCCGATAAATACAAAGGAAGGGGGATGAAAGGGATTAAGAACGATAGGTATGGAAGGCAGGTGGAGAGACACTGAGGGAGGGGGGAAAATGGAATTGGAGTAAACATCCAGTCAGCATAGGACAGCTGAAACTGGGGGAAGTTCTCTGAATGCCCAAAGGTCTCTGCATCGACTAATTCTAACCCTACCAGCTGGAGCCTTTAGCTTCTCCCTGCAGTTTTTCTCAGGGTCACATGATATGAGGGTGGGGAGGTGCCATGTGAGACCTGTGGTCTCTCTTGCACAGTTCCCAGTCAAGAGACATGCTGGCGAGAAGGATGGCTCCGATTGGGCCCCATTTTACCATCTTCTGCCAGGGAATGGTCCCTGCTTTGAGTGCTTTTACTCCTACTGGCAGATTTTGCTGCCTGGCTCCTCTCCACAGGTTTTTCCCACAAAGTCACATTTGTACTAGATTTTAGGTTCTAGTGAGTGAAACATGTAAATGTGTATAAACTAAACCTTAGCTATTTTCACACAAAACCAGAAAATAACCAATTAATGAACAATGAGAAGCACTGTTTGTGTCTTTTTCCCTTACTGCAAATGGAAGATTTTCTCCCTACCCACGTAATACCAAAGCACTTTGAAGAACAGAATCCCTCCCTGCACATAACCTTTCCAATAAATACACTGTATAATTGCAGACCCTATTGTTTCCAAATGGTGGTTGAAATAAAGACTGGGACTGTAGGTTGTTACCATTTAAAAAAGGTTCCCAGGGTAAATATAGATATATATATGTACATCCAAGTCCAGTGCCAATCTGTATCAGTCTGGCTAGACAGGTGGCTTGCTTATTATGACATTATTAATTCTTTTATGGTCTGTGTATTGTAGTAGTAGTGCATATTTCAGAGCTCATGCTAATACAGCCCAGAGAGGTTGTTTTCACTACAGAAAAGGAACACAGAGGAGGAAATAGTTATAGTTCTTTAAACACTTTGCCAAAATGAAATTGCTTCTGTGCTCTAACTTAGAGCAGGATGTAACTTGCCTTAAAGAGGGTCAAACCCTTTATGGCCTGTTTGTTACCTTACTCTCTTTCTAATATCTTAGTTTTAAAACAGATTGTTGCCCAGGAAATGGGAAGCTAGAGAATCTATTTTTGGCTAAATCAAGGTAACAAGCTGCTGGCTGTTGAGCTTTAGTTATGCTTTATGGTAGCCACATGTATTGCAACAAATTATTCCAAGTATAAATAGCTGTGTAAATAATTTGTCATTTTCATTTTAGCAAATAAAGTAAATAGATTGTGCTCAGACTTTCCATTTTTCTTTATCTAAACTAAAAGGTAAAGAACTAGGTTTCCCTTTAGTTCATGAAACTATCTTTGCATGAATCACTAAACCACTTCCTTCTAGGGAAAGCAGAAATAATTTCTCTGAACTATGGTATATGGAAGAGTGGTATGTGTCTGAATGGATGAAAACGTGGAAGCAGTTGAGGGTCACCTAATACAAAAGCACTGTTAGAAACCATATAAAGTCTTTTTGGTTTTGTATTGTATTACCTGGCGTAGAACATGCACCCTCCTAGAAAATGACTTCTCCCTCTGCCACCGCTCCCCTCCCAAAATTCAAAAGGGTGTACCTATTCCTTTTGTCCTAGTGCTTAGTGTCCATTAGTATTACAGAGCTTGGGAACCACATATGTGAGTCAAGTGGGCCTACTGAGGTCAGTTCTGCCAACTCTATAACGACCATATGTCCCGGATTTTCCGTGACCGTCTCTAATTTAAATCTCCTGTTCCAGTGTCCCCTTAAACACTGAATAGGTACCGGAGAGCAGCACATCTAGAAGCAGCTGTATGCTGTTGTTTCCTCTTCCCGTCCCCCAACTGAGGAAACACATTTGTGCAGGGATGCTTCCTGATGATTTTTCTCGCTTTTCTGGAATCCGGCCAGTAGGAGCAACAGGAGGTGGTGCCTGACCTCTGGCCCTCTGCTCTGGGGGTACGTGGTAGTTGTGTTGGGAGCTGCCAGTAAAGCAGCATGTAAGTGGCCCCCCTTCTCCTCACAGCCCAGTTCCACCACGACCCCGCTGCTGCTCAGTCTTAAATTTAGTAGGAGCCACGCGGCTCTTCTTAGATTTAAAGGGCAGGCTTTGCACAGAAATGGGAATCAGCTGTTTCCCAGCTCATCTGGTGCCCAGTCCCTGCGCAGTTCTGCCCTTTAAATCTAAGAAGAGCCGCGTGTCTCTGACTACATTTAAAAGACAGAGCAGCTGCGTAGCGGGGACCGGGCACCAGCTGAGCTGGGAATCAATTAATTCCTGATTCAGCTGACCCTCTGCCCTTTAAATTTAGTAAGTGCCATGAAGTGGCTCTTAGTTTTTAAAGGGCAGAGTCATAGTGCTCTGCGTGGAATTGGAAATCAGTGACTTCTCTGGGGAGGTAGAGTGGGGGAGGGACAGGTGTGGGGAGCCATATCTTAGGCTAAGAGGCAACCTTCTAGAATAAACCCTTTTCCTCCTCTTCAAATTAACCAGCCTGACTCTAGACCAGGGCAACTCAACATGCCGCATGAGGCCCACTACCTGTTTGTGGCCCGTGGTGCGGTTTGGGTTTATGTGGGGCTCAACATGCAGTCTGCGGGTGGGAGCCTAAACAAAAAAATATTCATTTTAACGGGTTTCTGTTGATATGTATTTTAGTAGTTAAATTCCTGGACTGTCATTGCTCATTAAAAGTGCTGTCATATGGGTGGAAATTGGGTAAACATTGCATTTTATTAATACCAGCAGAACTGACTTAAATGGGGCCTGCATGTTGTGTAGTCTTGCCTTAATCTTTGTATTCATGCCCATTAGTGTAAAATAAGCTATTTGCATATATATTTGCATGTATATGCAATCACACTTAAGCTGTGGCCCTTGGCATGTGCTGTGAGTATCATTGTGTCCCCTAGGGCTTCCAAAGTTGAGTAGCCCTGCACTAGACCAATGTTAAGGCTCAAAACTAATGACATAGATTAACTGTCCAGCTGCATTTTTATATACACTACACATTTCTTCATCACTCAGAATATTTTAGCTGACACAATTCTGTAGAATTTTACAGCCTCTATTCAGACTCTTTGCTTGAACATGAACCTTTCAGCACTGGTTCGTGTTTATTATGTAGATTAATTTTGTGCGCCTGTCGTTGCTGACTTGTGGAAGCTGCATAAATCTCAGCCCCTTTGGCAACAGAAATAGAGCACTTTCTGATAAATTGTCTGTCATACACTGAGAATTACTCCCAGTATCTCAGGTATGTATATTATAGGATTCCCTGATGACATGCCAGTAGGCTGACTTGCTCCTGTGGCAACTCCAGCTATCTCTAGATAGTTCCTTGCCCACACCCCCAGCCCACTCATTAAACCTCCACCCACTTCTCACAGATCCTCCACTAAGACCCTGCACTCCAAGCTCACTCCTGCACTCTCCCTTGCTCTTGCACCTCTCTCCTGGCCAAACTCTACACCTCATCCACTTCTGCACACCACCTCCCACCCAAATCCTGCACTCTTATCCCACTCATTGGCAGCACTGCCCCACACACTTAACCCTCATTTTTTGGCTCCACCCCAGAGCCTATGGGAGCCTACAAAATCCACTAACCTTGGAACCCCAGAAGAGTTAATCTGGCCTGAGGCTTTTACCCTCAGTCCTCCTTGCCCCTCCACCGGGCTGGAGCACCGGGGAAGTGAGGTGTTTGAGTTGGAACACATCAGAGAGGGTTGGGGTTTTTGGGAGGGTTGGAGGAGGCGGTTGATGAATGTAGTGGCCAGAGGAGGTGGGGTCAGTGAGCATAGAGAGCAGGGGACACAGCCCACTAGTTTAACTATAAACATTTAT